CTGTTGAATGAGAGTTAATGTATGCTTGGATTAAAGGAGGCAAAACAACCTGGGCCTCCTTTATACAGAACACAAAATGTAAAGGAATTAAATGTTTTAAGAATATAAAAATACCCTCTAAAATATCTTTCGTTGACTCCACCTTTGAGAGTCCACTATCTGCTAAGCATTGTCCTCAATGACAGGGATGCAGCAAATGAACCTGACAGACAAGGTTCCTGCTCACTAGTGGGGGAGACCAACAGGAAACAATTACAGAAATAAATGCTTAATTATAATTTGTTAAGCACTCGAAAGGGAAGTATGAGGTGATGTGAGAGTGTGTAACAGGGGAATCTACCCTCATCTAGCATATCAGAGGTTTCCTTGGGGAAGTGAAATTTAAGACCTGAAGCCTGAGTTGGAGTTGCTTTGGTAAGGAGGCAGAGGTCACGCATGAGTCTTCTGAGGGTGAGTCAACAGAAATCACCAATAGGAGTTGAGAATTTAAGGCATGATACCTAATATAATGATCTTTCATTTGATGACTTAAACCTCCTGGACTGTCAGTCACATCAGGGCGCAGGTCAGATACTCTACACTTTTGTGAACTCCCATGCTACTTCATAGCGATCTCAAGTATATATGATTACATAATAACAGCTCCATTTGATGTGTTTTCACATTTTTCTTACATTTAAAAAATGAATTTACAAGAAATATTGCTTTGTTTCCTATGCTTAAATTTCATTGCCATGCAACTACACAAGTGCTTAGGGTTCAGAGATTCTCCTGACAAGTCACTGCTTCCCAGACACAGCTGTGGACAAGTGGGATGCAAAGTGCAGCCCAGAGTTCAGGCAGCACTGACGTTGCTAGCAATGAGGCTAGGGGTGGGGGCTGCAGAGGTGGTGGTGCCCTGATGAGCAGAGCACTGCCCCTTCCTTTAGACTTCCTTGCTGCAGTGGACTCCTGGTTCAAGGTCTTGCTGCCCAAGATACATCCATGGCTCTACCACAACGGGGGCAACATCATTAGCATTCAGGTACAAGCGGAAAGTTGACTGGGCTAGGGGAAGGAGGTGCCGGTGTCCTTAATTTCTCCACCTCATAGCTGACCTCCACTTTTCCTTTCCCCTGGCAGGTGGAGAATGAATACGGTAGCTACAGGGCCTGCGACATGAGCTACATGAGACACCTGGCTGGGCTCTTCCGTGCACTGCTTGGAGACAAGATCTTGCTCTTCACCACAGATGGCCCTGAAGGCCTCAAATGTGGCTCCCTCCAGGGACTCTATACCACTATAGATTTTGGCCCAGGTCTCCTGAGCAAGGGTTCAGACTGAAGTCTGGGGAAGGGGCACCTGTTCCATGTTGCTTATCTTTCGCCTTTGCCTCCTTTCTGCAGCTGACAACATGACCAAAATGTTTGCCCTGCTTCGGAAGTATGAACCCCACGGGCCATTGGTGAGGAGTCAGAGGGGAGGGCAGGTGTCAGCCTGGGAAATGGGTTGAGCTCGGTTCCCATCTGGCTCACAGCTCCTTTCACTTCATGCTGTAGGTGAACTCTGAGTACTACACAGGCTGGCTGGATTACTGGGGCCAGAATCACTCCACACGCTCCGTACCAGCTGTAACCAAAGGACTAGAGAAAATGCTAAAGTTGGGAGCCAGTGTGAACATGTAACTGGAGACACCGGGGCCAGCATGACTCTGTAACTGGGTGCTGGGGATGAAGGTTAAGATTCAGTGGGTCAGCTTTTACCTTTCCCCCTGCTCTCCCCCACTTTAGGTACATGTTCCATGGAGGTACCAACTTTGGATACTGGAATGGTGAGTCCAGATGGTTCCTGGGGTGGCAGCAAGGAATTAGAATCTGCGGGCTGCACGGATTAGGATGCTAGAAGCTGGATATGGCCACTGCTGCCCCTGCTGATAGCAAAATTCTCTGCATGCATTTCTTTGCTTAGTGCCTATCACCTGAAAGGTATATTGAATTAATTAAATTGGTTTGACCAGGTGCTGATGAGAAGGGACGCTTTCTTCCAATTACTACCAGCTACGACTACGATGCACCCATATCTGAAGCAGGGGACCTCACACCTAAGCTTTTTGCTATTCGAAATGTCATCAGCAAGGTGCCCCACCACTTCATTAAGCACCAAAGGCTTTTATTAATTTGGGGGGAGGGAGTACCCAAATTGTTTGTAAAGGGATACCATAAATCAGTGGTTGTTGTCTGGGCCAGAGAGCCCTCTGAGCACCCTATGGCAGCATCTCTCACCCACCCAAATGGGATTCCCTGGGGAGATACACACAAATATGTGTAAAATTACAGAATCTTCATGACCCCTGAAGCCCTTCCCTGGAACCCCAGTTAAGAACCCTGCACTAGGGTCTTGGAATAGGGGTTCTTTGCGTGGTTTTCCTATGGCTCCTGAGACAATTTGGGCTCAGTTCCAGGAAGTTCCCTTGGGACCTTTACCTCTCCCCAGCCCCAAGATGATGCTTGGACCTTTGAGCCTACACCTGGTAAGCTTCTCTCCATTACTCTCTAATTCTACCCCTTTATTCTCTAAATAGCCCAGCCTGTCCTACCCTCTATTCTGAAAGTTCCCTCACATTCTGATACTTTCCCCTTATTCTAACAGGATGGGAATTTGCTGGCTTTCCTAGACTTCCTATGCCCCCAAGGGCCCATCCATTCAATCCTGCCAATGACCTTTGAGGCTGTCAACCAGGTAAAGCATAATCCCCCATCCAGTGGGTATGGCAACAGCTATACCAGGGGTTCCCTCAGCTATGCATCTTCTCCACAGTATCCTTTCTTATCTCTCAGCTTATAAACTTATTCTTACACACCCAGGACCATGGGTATATGTTGTACCAGACCTATCTGACCCATACTGTTTCTGAGCCAACACAATTCTGGATGCCAAACAGTGGAGTCCATGACCATGCCTACGTGATGGTGGATGGGGTGAGAACCTAATACCAGGCTATCTCTGAGCCCACTTTCTCTCCTCCCCAGCACACTTTAGTCTTAAATTTCCCATATCTACCTTTTCCCACTGCCTGCTCACATTTGAGGGGATAAGCTGGGATGAGGAAGTTTGACTAAGGATAAGGTTCCACTATGAATGGATAAGTGACAGAAGGGCTACATTCTCTTTGCCCTCTAAATCAGTGTCCTAATGTGGCTTCCTGTGTGGTGGCCACAGGCTAGATGCTGAGCTCCTCCCTTTCACAGATACTCTTATCCACAGGTGTTTCAGGGTGTTTTGGAACGAAACATGAAACACAGCCTACTTTTGACGGGGAAAAAGGGGGCCAAACTGGATGTCTTGCTGGAGAACATGGGGAGGCTCAGTTTCGGGTCTAACAGCAGTGACTTCAAGGTGAGCTAGCTATGCCCACTCCCTTGCCCCCATACTCTTTTTTTAAATTTCATTTTTAAAATTATTTATTTATTTGGCTGCGCCAGGCCTTACTTGCTGCACGTGGGACCTTTGTTGCAGCACCTGGGATCTTTTTTAGTTGCAGCATGCAGAATCTTTAGTTGTGGCATGCGGGATCTAGTTCCCTGACCAGGGATTGAACCCAGGCCCCCTGCATTGGGAGCGCAGAGTATTAACCACTGGACCACCAGGGAATTCCCACCCCCCAATATTCTTATTGACCGAACTCCCTTGGAAAGATAGGGGCCTAATGGAAGATAAACAAGAGCTATGTCCTGGGCTTCCCTGGTGGCGCAGTGGTTGGGAGTCTGCCTGCCGATGCAGGGGATGCGGGTTCGCGCCCCGGTTCATGCCACGGAGCAGCTAGGCCTGTGAGCCGTGGCCGCTAAACCTGCGCGTCCGGAGCCTGTGCTCCGCAACGGGAGAGGCCACAACAGTGAGTGGCCCACGTACCGCAAAAAAAAACACAACTATGTCCTTAGGGCTTAGGCAGCAAAGTAGCAGCTTGTGGGGATCTGGACGTGGCCACTAGTTGCATCCCAGGGCTTGAGTAGGGATAGTATGGCCTTAGAACTTAGAGAATGATGAATTTTCATTTGCCTTCTTCACAGGGCCTATTGGAGCCACCAATTCTGGGGCAAACGGTCCTTACCCAGTGGCTGATGTTCCCTCTGAAAGTTGATAATCTTGTAAAGTGGTGGTTTCCCAACCAATTGCTGAAAAGCTCACATCCTCAAACTCCCTCTGGCCCCACCTTCTACTCTACAACCTTCCCAATTTTAGACTCAGGCGGGGACACATTTCTCTTTCTACCTGGATGGACCAAGGTATTGCTGACAGTGAGGGTGGGGCTGGGGAGTAGGGTGGTAAGAGAGGAAAATCATGGAAAGAGGGAGAGCAGAAATTATTCCTCTGATTAGAAACCCCAAAGGGGATAATTCTACCCCTTTGAGAGCTGATCCTTTATATTCCTCTCCTTCCTCCTCCCCAGGGCCAAGTCTGGATCAATGGGTTTAACCTGGGCCGCTACTGGACAAAGAGGGGGCCACAACAGACCCTCTACGTGCCAAGACCCCTGCTGTTTCCTAGGGGAGCCCTCAACAAAATCACGTTGCTGGAGCTAGAAAATGTGCCTCTTCAGCCCCAAATCCAATTCCTGGATAGGCCTATCCTCAATAGCACTATGCATAAGACATACATCTATTCCCTCTCAGCTGAAAGTGCCTCTGAACCAATGGAGTTAAGTGGGCACTGAAAGAAAAGTAACCCTTGGACCTGGGACATGGAGTGGGCAGGATCCCTTGGTGCTAGCCATGGTGACCGTAAGGAAACAAAGGCCACAGGTGTGAATGTAAGTACAAGTGCAGTTTCTTTGCCAAACTTTATTGTGATTAAAATTCCAGAGACAGTACCAGCACCACACACCTCTATGGCCCCGGTTCCTGAATGTCCCTCACCCCAATCTTCCAAATACTCTCTGGTTTCGTGGGGAAGAAGAAACCTAGGGCCAGTGTGTATGTGCCCTCTCAGAGCCTAGAGTTGGCCCCAGGTGGAGCTGTAAGAGATCAGGAAGAGGGCTTCTCAGCCCGACAGCAATGATCCTGGAGGCAGCGTATGGAGCGGAAAGAAATCAAAGTAGTGAAAGGGAATATGAGGCCTTGGAGGGATGTCCCACAGCTCCAGTGGTGTCTGAACAAGAGGAAGAAAAATGGCTGGAGAGGTGTCCCAGAAACTTTCTAATCCAAGCCTTCCCTGTCCCTCCTCCTGCCACTTCTGTTTTTATTCCAAAGGTTCCCAGAGCGTCTCAAATCTCCTCAACAGCCTTTCTGAACACTGAGCGGGCACGCATTCTACTTGTCCAGAATGGCTTCTAACTCATCACAACCTACCCACTCACACCCACCCCCTCTACGTACTGAACGCTGATGATGGCAGGGTCGGGGACCTGAGGGGTAGGGGTTCCCAAATGGGCAGCCAGTCGGCGCTCTGCAGCCAGAGCTCCCTGAGGGAAAGA